AATGTTAAAAAATGATAAACAGCAGTTCATTTATGTTTTTAACATAAAAATGCTGTAGACTTGCTTGAAATTCTGTGTGCTGTGCCATAAAGTATGACTTCAGAATTGTTGCTGTTTCTTCATCTTGTAGGTCTTGTTTATTTGAAGATGTATTTTCTTCCTTTGGCATGTCAGTAGAGGGATTATAGTTGCAAACAATTCTTTTTCATGAAATTTACCATCTTAGAATTTGTTATATTGTTTTGAAAACCATGTTCAATAGGTATAACAAAAGTATTATTTTTCTCAAAATATTTCATTCTGGCTGACAAAGTAATCAGATGGTATATGTATGGTTCACTTTGTCTTTTAAGATGATTAATTAATCACCAACTTTCACAAAAGTTAACTCACACCTCATTGTCAGAAACACCCCATTCATCATCAATATAAAACATAGTTTGAAAATATTATTCAAAGGTTCAGAAAATTTTTTTTAATTCTCAAATTAAAACAAGAAACTTTAAGGCATAATTAATTTTTTTTCAAATTGTAGTCAGGCATAAATTTGTCCTTTATATTCATATTCAAATTCCTTACATTTTTTAGAACGAGTAATTAATACATTTCTTTATTAGAAAATACAAATTTAAATGCTTAACTAGTGAAATATTTAAAACGTCTTAACTGAAATATTTTACAAGTGTCTCAATTAAATGTAAATTTAAAACTTAATGTTATAAAAATGATACTTTATTTAAAACAGTTATTTCTTTTCTAACTAAATTCAGTTAAATTCAGTGGTAAAAAATTCTGTTCTAGCACCAAGGTTTTTTGTTGTAATTCTGTCCTTTTATTTATAGTTTTAAATATTGTGAATGTTCTGTTATGCTTAAATTGTTGTAATCCTAAACTATTCTGAAGAAATGTGTAGAGAGATTCTAAACATTCTGTATGAAAGAAAATAAATTTATATTTAATATGATAAATAGTTAAGTTTTCATGTTTTACTTTTAGGTTCATCAAAGAGTACGGCTTGAAGGAGCTGAATTAGAGGAATACATGAGAAAAGAAAAAGAGAAGGAACAAGAAGCCAAACAGAAAGCAGAAAGAGAAATGTGAGTCATATTAATTACTTTGACTTTACATTATATGATATTTAGAAGTTTTTGAGGTATTGTCAGTTATTCTGTAATATTTGTTGATATGTTACTCTTTATCGTATATTATTTGTTTCAGTGAGTCATTTTATTTATGACATTGAGTAATTCAAATTTTTCAAAAGTTTTATTGTATAAAAAGAAACATTTGTAATTAGATGTATGTATTCAGAATGAGAAAATTGATGGTTTAGGAATTTATTTGATAGCTCTAGTCAGAAACTAGTTGTTCTCTGTAAACTTTAAATTTTTTCAATGTTAATGAAAAGATTTTCTTTTAAACAGATAATGACAAAAATATTAGTAACAATAGAAGTTTAATCATTTTAATAATTTGAATATAATTTTA